CTGAGTTGGAAAAGCAGTCTAATTGACTTCTTTTTCTGGAAGTTTTACATTTTCAAAGTGTGAACTTGAACTCCCATGGGCCTGAAGCCTTATACTTGTTTCACATTTTACTTACATTGGTATTACCTGTTGAGCATAATTAAAATTTGATGTTGAATTTGCAGTTTAACATAATGTACTTTTGCATCAGAATTGACAGTAGCCTATTTTGTTATTTCCTGCTTTTTGTCTGTACATTTGACAGCTTTGCTGCCTTGTTTAGCCCTGTTATCACTTTAGTTTTCATTTAAAGGAGCCCAGGCAGGGAGATTTGCTCAGGACTCATATGGGTGATAGGTTGTAATTGTAGAACTGAATAATGTGGGGTGTTCAAGTCCTCTGAGAAGTTGGGTAGCATAATTTTTTTAAGAATCAGTCATTAGACCTAGTCATCAGCTAAAATCTTATATCCAAAAGTCTTGTTTGACAATGTTTGTAAGTTTATTATAATTATAAGATAATAATAATAATTATAATTTATAATCTTATTTATTTATTTATTTACTTATTTATTTATTTATTTTGTATAAATTGGTATATTTGATAATACTACACCTTCCATAAAAATCGATTGGTGTAATCTGTAACTCAGGTACTTTGTTTCTATCTACAAATAGTGTATGCCAGTGCATTTTTCATCACAGTCACAGCTAGCTCAATAACCTGAGTAATGATGACAATCAACTTCAAATATTAATGGACACAAATCATGAAAAAGCCACTCTGAAAATTGCATGCCATGAAGCCTGTCAAACTGCCACTGCTTGTTACTTGTCACTGTGGAAGTAAACAAAGTAATTAACACAATTTCTCTGGATGACATGCCATGTTGACACTGACTGTCACTTCATTGATTAAATCAGTGTCATTGTGTCAACAATTGTGTGTCACTAGATCAGAACACACATATATTAGATGTGCACTACTGGGACATCTCAGACAAGGATAAACCAGCACTAGGTGAACACCATATATATATAAGAACTAGACTAGACAGCAGTGTTATACTTAGTATGTGATGTCATTGGCAATTTGAAGATACTGAACTGTTTTGTTGAATTAATATTTGTTATATGTTAACTACCTGAGGAGGATTGCACATTTTCCCAAGAATTGGTGAATTTTTGTTATTGTTATTTAGTCTTGAGAGTGTTGTGTAAGTGTTGCTTATGTTATATCACACTGTTGATGGTTATAGTTTTTACAGTCACTCTCTTAAGAATTCTCTCTTAATTTTGAAGATTCAATGGAATGTGAGTAAATATAGTACCAGTTCTTGGAATTTTAGCAATCAAGCTGAAATATTATCATGATTGTAATTACAAAATTTTATTGCTTTCTTATCTTATGCTTTTATTGATATTTATGATATTTATTTTTTGTTTTCTATTTCTAGCCCACCATGCCAGCTGCCATGGAGGTTTTGAACTCTCACAGAGAAATTGGTGTGCAGACCAACATCGTACTGGGGACTCTCAACGTAAAGTTTGTTATCCAAGACAGTGAAGAGGATATGGTATTTAGCCGACAGTTCTCTGGAGTAAAGACAAACACCGTCTTTAATGGTAGCAGCTGTAGGAGTGAGGAAGCAGATTCTAATGGACAGGCAACGTCTTCGCCTCTGACCCCTGTGACTTCTCACCAGAGGGCAGCACTTCAGCAGAACTTCCCACGGCTCAGCGAGAATCCAGGGTTACCATTATACCCACCACTGAGTGTGATTCCATCGTACGGACAGTCTGCATTCCCAACACTTCCTACATCAGTTCTCCCAGCTGGAGTGGTGACCTCCTCACCGCTACCTCAGCCAAGACAACCCCCATCCCAACCAGCCACCAGGTCGGAACAGATTCTTCGCAGTATTCAGCGATCAGTTGGAAGAGAAACTCTGCCGCTTGCTTCGAAACAGATCCTTCGTAAACCCAGGAAGGTCGTGAACCCTCGTCCCAGAAATCTGTTATCTCGTCCCTGGTTGGCTAATGCAGTGCGTGCTGCAGCAGTTGCCTCTGTACAGAATGGACATACAGGTGACTCCCAAAGCTCTGCTGCTGTACCTGTGTCGCAACCAACAGTCAGTAGTAGTAACAGTAATACTAGTAACCCAGTTCGTTGCAGTAGTGTTGAAGTGGGAGAAATTACTGAATCTGGACGTGAACTAAAGGAAAATGACAGCAGCAGTAAGCTAAAGATATCAATGACTGTACAAGGACATGACAATGAGGAAACAGAAAAGAGAGAGTCTAACACCAGGAGTGTCTGCCATAGATTGGATGATACCAAAAATGACATTGATGTCAGCACCAAAGACAGCAATATTGTTCACAAGTCACATGAAAGCATGAACAGAAACAGCCTCCACTCTCCCAGCTCAGAGGGGGACAGTGACACTGCATCTGTGACTGTGAAAGAAGAGCCACATGAGGAGGACTTTGAATCGTGTCATGTTACAAACTCATCTGACTCTGAAGGACAGAATCTCGATACCCATGATTTCTCACCTGTAGGTGGTGACACCAGTGTAGATTCATCCATGATGAGCCCAAACGGAAATCAGGTTCATGATCACAGAGAAATCAGTCCCACTACTAAAGTGACCTCATCTAATCCTACACCCACCATTGATTCTGCAGTGAACAGTCTAGCAGCATTATCAGGAATGAACTCGGAACATTTCTTTGAGAATTTCATTGGTCGAAATCTGCATGGAGCAGCTCTGCAACAAGACCCTGTGCAAAGACGGCACAGCTTTGAAAATGGCTCATCAGTTTTCCCTCCACATGGTGCTTTTCCTCACCAGGATGTACGGAATTCAGAGGACTTGAACTCATCAGCGCCAGTAAGTTCATTTTTCACTTCATATCAGCCCAAAGGTACATTTCTGAACAAAGAGGAGAGAGACCAGAGAAAGGAACGCTATAAGGAATTTTACAGGGAGCTGACAATTATAGACAATGAATCTGGAAGACGCAAACCAAAATTTGAGTGCCGTCTGTGCAATGCTGTCTCATCTCGCAAAGATCGCATGATTGACCACATTGAGTTCAAACACTTCAACATTCGCAGTTATCCTTGTGATGGGTGCAATGTTAAATTCAGTACATACTCAAATCTTGCCCAGCACCGCAAAAAACAGCATGGACTGGACGGAGTGGACATCCCAAGGGGTCAGGCAGCTTATAACGAGCAGGGATTAAGAGTGGACAAGGCTCGTCATGTGAGACACCTGTTCTTTAAGATCCAGGACTATAACAACACAGGATTTATGAACAGGTCTTATCAGTGTAAGTTGTGTAGTTATAGGTCAACTAGGACTGATCGCATGGTCATACACATTGAGGCTCACCACAGGGAGTACATGTGTAGTAAAGACTGACCACTACATACACACTGAGGCTCACCACAGCAAAACCTTTGAATACTGTTAATTTTTATTCATTTTCTTTTGCAATAGGCTACAACCTAGTTAAATGACATATTTTGCCAGCAATGCTGGTTGTTTAATATCAATTATTTTGGTTTTGAAGTCATTATATTTTATAAGGTAGCATTTCTAAAACTTGATTGTTGTAGGTTTTCTCTACAATTTCACCATTGGTAACTCAAAGGATTTGGATGTGTAGCAGTGCCACTGCTCGTTTCCATACAGAAATGAATTGTGTAACCATTTTTATAACAGCTTTTATACTTTCCTTTTGACAAAGACTGTAATTTGACTTGTGAAGTCTCAATTCATAGATATGCCTTCTATTTTAGGATAGAAATAGTTTTTGTACACAGTACATTTGACAGCTGTTGCTTTGTATCAAAGTGTGTTTTAATTTACTGACAGATTCAAACTTCCTTTTATTATTTTCTCAATTTTTTTCATTTGATATAGAAATAGATCATCTTATAAAGGACAATCTTACTAGAAAATTGTTCACAACAATGAAGCATGGCCATGACTTGACTTGTACCATGTATTTTGTAAGGGTTTGTTTGAAGACGTGTAGCTTTTTGTATGATGCTTTTAACATATTTGTTATCTTGGAATGTTTTTAGTAAGCAACACTGAAAAGAATTTTCATTAAATTAGATATGGCCTTGCATATTATGGAATTGTAGTGTTAGAGATGGAAAGGATAATTCATTCACCATGAATTAACGGGCATTGTAAAAGTTAAAGTATATTGTGCAATTTACCAAATGAAGAGAAGTACATAAGGTTGTACAGAACTGTGGAGTGTTGAGAGGAGATTGTGCTGGTCATTGTGTTAGGTGAGCTTGATGACATTGTGCTAGGTGCTGATATGAGTTGGATGACTTTGCGATTGCTTAGCTTTCGTTTTCGGCAAACTTTTTTTACCCAAAGTGTGTAATGTGCAATTTAAAGTTTTTAAAATATCTAAGGTTTTCATTCATTTGACACAAGGATAAGAAAAAGAAATGTGCAATTTTAACTTAAAAACCTGGAAAAAGTACAAGGACAGAATTATTTGTTATTTTAAGTGTTATCAGTGAACTTCTTAACTTTACAATTTGTGTATATGTTTTCAGTAGAAATGTATATTTCCGTGAGGTTTAAAATCGACACAAGTCCATTGCACTGGTTCAATTGTACGAAGTTTGGTTGGAAACAAATGAATAAAATGTTTGAATATATTAAGTGTGTTTGTCTTTGGCAAAATGAATGGATAAGTTGAAGTCGATTCACTAATACGAGTTTAGTAATTCATTTTTTTAAACGAAACTCTGGAATAAAACCGGTGTGGTAATTCTCTTACCGATCACTTTCTCCCACACTGTCATTTGGCTGTATCTAAGAAAAAGTATGGGCATTTTTGTTATGGTAAACCTTGTCAATTTGAGACATTTTTGAAGTATTTATTGTGGAAAGCGATTGACTGAAGTCCTATGACAACAGTGCAGTTGTTTCTTGACATTTTTCTTGAAACAGAAGTATTCATATATTATCCTTTTTGATGACCTGACCATAAGTATCCTGTTATCTCTGTCTACTCTAAATAGTTAAGCTGGCAGACTTCAAAATCGATACAATACTTGAGTAGCTCCAAAGAGCTAATCTTATGTCTGACTATTGGGATGGTTGAGCTGACCTTGTTTGAGAAAGTTTTTGATAAATCATGCAATGGATGCATGGTGAATTCACCTTTATTATTGGGGGCGAAGAGACTGGATGCGTCGCCCTTTCTGTCGGAAAAAGGTCCTCTCTGAGTAAAATTTGATCTCAGTACAAGAAGATTTCATGGTTAAAGGTGCCCCTTTTCGGAAAATGACCCCCCCCCCCCCCCTTAAAATTGCTGGGTACATGCCTACACTGTAAAAACAGTGTTTAGCACTTAAACACATTTCTAAACGCCTGTTTTGTCTCATTTTTTCGACGCTTTTAGCCCCTAAGCACGTTAAGCAGGTTAAGCTCCCTAACATGTTACACGCTTTGACGCGTTTGACGCCTATTAAATGTTAGGTGTATTTGCTAAACTTTAAGATGGTACGGGTTTCAGTTGTTTTAGTCATACACAGGCGCCCAGACACGCACACACGTAGTCACGGTCAACTTTAACTGCTATAGCTATCACTATCTATAACAGGCACGTACCGTCAACTGCCAACATCGTTGACTTAACTCGCTGACCTTTACAGCGGTATTTATTCCTCCTTGTGGTAGCTGATCTTGCGAGGAAGCTTATTGGAATATATTTCTGAAAATCAAGTTAGGAAAATTCACTAGTTTACTAAAGACACGAAACAGCTATCACTTTTACTTTAAAACAGTTTTTTTTCATATTTTGATTAAATGCGTTACAGTATTGGTATCTATTTATTTTTTCCGGAAGTAATGAACAATAGAACATCAGGATGATGGTTGGGTATTCACTATAATGGTTCATTGAAGCTTTCATCGCATGCTGGTTATTTTGGTAACCATGGTCCGAATATTTAACAAATCGCACCGCTCTATAGTCGCCTACTAACCCCAAGCTCAATTTGGAATTAACCGCTAAATGTAGTTTATACAGCACTAAGATCTAATAAACGGATATATAAGATCTTAGTACAGCATAAGACGTGTTTTGGTTATTTATAAAAAAGGTTTTCAAAACATTAAATAATGTTTTTCCAGAATGTTATAAAACCGCAGGGGCATCATTTTGCATGGAGTTAAAAACACCCATAACGTTACCATAACGTTATTCTATACCATCACCATCATGTATGCAGCTGATAACGTCGTGAATTTGTTATTTGGATTATTACTTAATAGGCCTATTTTAAATAATCACACGTTACTGCAAGGAAGGACACAACGCGTTCGAGCAGCCTGCTCCACGCCTCCAACAGCTCCATACGTTTACAAGAGGAAGTGTTAAGCCAAATTGTTGAGTCTAGTAATAAACTTGTTATGGGATTGTATACCGGTGAAGCATTTTTTTTCTGTGACAAGCTTGAAAAGCTAAACGTGTTGTTCAGCAGCTCCACGTGCTTAGGAATTCCACACCTATAGCAGCTCCATATGTTTAGCAGCCTTCCGCGCTTAGCAGGGGAGGTGCTTAGACAATGTGCTTAGCTTGCGATAGACTTATTGTACAAACATAAAGCGATGAAGCTAAACACATAGCTAAACGCGTAACACTGCCAACGTGTCTTGATTTTTCTTCTGTGAAACGCTTGAAAAGCTATACGTGCTTAGCTTTTACACATATTTCTAAATGCGTATAGGTGCCTAACGTGTGTTGTATGTATTTAAATGCTAAACACTGTTTTTACAGTGTATTTAGTCATATCTTATTAAGTCTATGCTATACCATATCAGTACATACACATGCCGCTCATATAAAAACCGATAACCTACATCGCTTCAAAAACAATCATTGACACCCCCTGGTCGTGTGGTCTGCGTGAAGAAGAAATCCAACAAGATGTCGTCCGATTCAGGAAGATGTGTCCAAATTTCAGCGCTGAGTTTCTTTCTGCTGGTTTACGTGCATCACGTTTGCGGTAAATAGATGTAGATATAGCTGTTTGAAGGCCATTTATTGCACCTACGTATATCGTAGACAATTTTTATTAGGTCGTTTCAAGTATCCAAGTGTATTCAATATGGATAAACAATTCTTATCTTTAAACTTTATTTTTGAATCTTTAAACTTCAATTTTGTTTCACACTTAAGGCCTTGCTCTTTCCATTCCGTGCATATATTCAATGACTGCAACATAGCTACCTAGTTTTGTTAAATTATAATAACAAAGTTACAAGCTACATAATCTCTTTATGATAACTTCTAGGGTTAGAAGTAACATTAGCTGGTTTGCCTGCCAATGGGTACGTCATAAATCCTGAGGGCGGCAACCCACAACCATTAAACCTTGTGTGCAGTTACACAGTGGATCCTGGAGAGACGCCGTCGTATGTTACATTCTACAAAGATGGAACTGACACAGCAAACCAAATAGTAGTAATACGGGTATCTGATGGAACTCCCAGGAAATCCAACAACTATCGCACTAGAGCTGATGTGACTGCTACAGCCTCTGATCCGTCATTCACTTTAACAATCGGTGGAGTCAACATGGCAGATGAGGGGAGCTATAGATGTCGTGTTAACACCGAATATAATACAGCCGTCGTGACAACTGAAGAGCAGACCCTGGAATTACTGTGTAAATAAAATGCAGTATAATGTTCATGTAAATTAAATATATAATAAGTGGCATTTTATTTTACACCACACTTGATCATTACTAAAGCCCACATCTCTCTCCACCAGAAAGGCAGATCCTTATTTAATTATTTTTTTAAAACAATTTTTATTGTGAAGGTGCAGTAAGTTATACATTTCAACATGTCTTTGGTTAAAATACCTTTACTTTGGAGAATTTTATGAAATGGGACATAAGCGATACTAACATTATTTTTTCCATAATTTACCATTTTGCAGTTCGACCTAATCCACCCCAGATTACACGAGGACCCCAAGTTGCCACAGATACCTACCGGGTATCTTGTTCCTCTGATGGCGGCAGACCAGCACCGGAGATAAAATGGTTTAAAATGCAAAGTTCTAATCAGATAGAGGTCGCCATAAATGCAACCGCGAACACGATGACACCCCAGGGAGACACCTTTCTGGTCGAAAGTGACGTAGAAGTGATGGCAACCCAAGCAGATCCAGTGGAAGTAATTTGCCAGCTACTGCACGACTCACTTATAAGTCAAACCATGACAAGTATCATTGTCCCTGAAAGTGCACGTATGTATGGATATTAGTTTGGATGTGTAATTGAGAAAACGCGTGGAGTATAATCGAACTACTTCCTGCTGCATAGCGTCATTTACTTATGTAAGTGATATAGAATATAATTGCACTAGTTACTAAAAAAATCTCAATTAGCAAAATTTTGTCAATTGTTTTAAACCGGAACATGAAAATGATAATGTTGGCTTAGTACATATATATTAGATATGAGGAAATGTATGCGCAGTTTTTGGAAACTTTAGAAACACGTCTAACTGTTTATTGCGTTGTTAACATTTTAAAATAGTCCTTATTTCTAAAACTTGACACTGATAAAGTATATATTACTCATCTAATCCTTTACTTCAGCTCCTTCAACGAGATTCCCAAAAGCTACAGGTAGTTATATTTTTTCCTTGTGTCACTACATTAATTACATTAATCACTCTTGAATCGATCAACTGCCAAATGAAGAAGGAAGAAAATAATATTATAACATTGATGAAATTGTATTTAAAATGTTAAGAAAATCTCATCGAAATAAGTTAAGCATTTCATGTGTTTTTTTTATAAGTGGGCCTTCTATAAGCATATATGTTCATTCTCCTTACCAGTCATTAGTGTTTTAAATTTATCCATTCTGGTAAGATGCTCAAAGTTACTATGTTGTACTATATATATATATATATATATAGTACAACATAGTAACTTTGAGCATCTTACCAGTACTATATATATATATATATATATATATATATATATATAGTACAACATAGTAACTTTGAGCATCTTACCAGTACTATATATATATATATATATATATATATATATATATATATATATATAGTACAACATAGTAACTTTGAGCATCTTACCAGAATGGATAAATTTAAAACACTAATGACTGGTAAGGAGAATGAACATATTATTGCTCTTGCCAAATATTTATGGTTAGCCTTCCAAAAATGGGACTGTGCTGCACCCATTACCAGTTGAGTAGGTAGAGCCATTTGGGCTCTGTCAAATATGTTTTGTATTTTTCATACCAGGAGTCGCACAATATCACTATTTAACTTAATTCATATTTATTTATATTTGTATTCCTTTTGTACATTTTCATCTATCCATGTAGATGCATACGTTACAATGAATAAAGCATATGTATATAGTGGTGTTGGTACATTGGTAATACATTTTTAATATATATTTTTAAAACTAAGGATACAGATATAATTCACATTTGTTGATTTCTGAAAATGAAATTAATACTGGTTGCGTCACATAACGTTAGCGGTAAATAGGAGGAGATAGACAGCGTAGCTGTTGTATAAGAAATTTATTTTGGCAAAATCTGAAAGTTGAAGACAATGAACCAACGCTACTTAATAAAACACTGTCCAATTTAAAA